TGGGGTTGGCAAGAGGTATTTCTTCTTCTTTCTCCCTACAACCTTCCCTTTCGATTGATGTACTGACTGTACCACAGAGCAAGAAGAAGAAGAAAAGGTCCAAGAAGGCCGTCGCTGGCGCTGAGACAGCAGAGCCACAATCTGCGTCCGGCAAGGGAGATGACTCTACCCCTTCCGCAACTACGACAGCAACACCTGCCGCAGATACCTCCGGCGTCGTGAAGCGCGATTTAGCGCCCAAGGTGGAAGAAGCAACTGAGGAGTAAAATGGCATAGATAGGTTGCACTCAGGCATGATCGTAGGATGCATCGTATCAACTGGTTTCTTTGCATCTTTGAGTCATTGTGGTTGTTCTGGGTTATGTTCTAGACCTCGGGCTACGGGTTCATCGGATGAATAGCCACGTACGACTATATTTCTTAAATGATATATGTTCACTTCGGGCTGGAGTAAGGTTTCACTTATTTGAATTGATCAAAATCCATATGGGCCATAGAGGATTCTGTAATTCCTGTATAATAGTTCTTAATCGTGAGGATGCACTGCTCAGTTTGATGTCGAATCTTGGGATTCGGCCGTGTTGACTCGGCCTAGGTTGAAATATTTGACATGGAAGAAGAGTCTCCACTAGATACGACGGTCGGTATGAGGCATGAAGACTCAAGATGGACCAACATCAAGAACCAGTAAATGTGGGAGTAACGAAAGCGAAGAAGAAAGGAAATAGTGAATGTAGTAACGACATACAGCATGGATATCTTCAACTGTGGCTGTAGAAGAGGCCAAGAAGGTAGGGTAGATGCAATGACAAAGTAACAAAGCTGTCTGGTATCAGTAATATATATAAGAAAGCAAGTCGCTGAGGTATCGCAAATTCAATAAGACTTCAGGCGTGAAGACGGAATTTCCTCAGTAGTGAGGGAGTACAAAAGCACTTTTCCAAAATGCGCAACGCTATGTTTTCGGGGCCGAGGAGATGTACAGGCGTCTCTATAATATCTACCGACGCCTGGAGATGCAGAATGAGCCAAGAGTAGAGAGTAGAGCAAATCGATGTGAAGTGGTATCGCTTATAATCCGGAAGATACCTGGGTATCTATACTTGGAGTAGCAGGAAGGTCGGTAAGGGACTTGGGAGGATTGATGCTGGCAAAGCTTCTTTGGCGGTCTCGTAACGTCTTCGAAGGCGGCAATTGGGAGGAACGAGCTGTGAGGGAAGCGCTTGGTAGCAGAACAGGCCTATGTGGATCGATTGGAGATGGGATTTTTGGTAAGGGGCAATTGGGGGGAGGTGCCGCTGGGGGTCCAACAGACAGTCCCGGCATGCTCTTGCGCCGAGCCATGCTGGGAGGACGACCGCCGTGGTCTGTGGGATACACTCTATCCCGTTGGAGCTCAAGGATGGACTGATTTCCGGAATTTGTCGTTGGTTGTGTGGGTTGCGAATCAGGTAGAATCTTGGTTAACGGGTCAATGGCTATGCTCGGAGGACGGAAGTGCGTTGTCATGGTATACGTTATCGGTAAACGTGGGTTGGGTAGACTCCTGTAGTCCTTATTTCTTTGCTGAGGATCTGCTAGCGAATCCTCGGAATTGGATACCCGCAACTGTCGCCTAGGGGAGGCGTTGCGGGCAGTAGAAGTATCCTCATATATGTCGTTGAGGCCCATTCTACTCATGTTGCGGGTTGGCGACTGAGGTGGGGAGGGAAACGCAGACAAAGTATCGAGTTGCTCGTCAGAATCCTGATGACGGAGCCCATTACTCCGGTCACAGTCCAGACGAGGATCTTGAAGAAGTTGAGCTTGAGCGGTCTTCGCAGCAAACCTCTTGCTGAATGACGGAACACTGAAGTTGGGTGCTGGAGGCGAGGTGCTTCGCAAGATTGGCTCTGGCACCGTTGATGGCGACCACCCAGGTTCATATCCTTCTGTGCTCGCCGATCCTGCCAGATAGGCGGATAGGCGTTTGGTCAGACTTGCCGTGGTCGGGCTCGGCGGTACACCCGGTTGGGACGCTCCAGGAACTGCGGGGCCATTAGGAAGTGTAAAAGAACCACTCGGAGGAGGGACCGAAGAATACAACCGCGCGAAGCCGTTGACGGGTGGTGTCACATCCGTGTGTGTGGTCGACATCGAGTTGGAACGGGACTCAGCGCCAGATTGATAAACGATCGACCGGCGTTGTACAGATATATAGGAGCTCCGGCGAGATTGATCGCTGAGAGCTTGATCTTTTTCGTCGGAACCTGCCAACTGTTGAGGCTGTAGATAGATGTTGGAGAAGCGGTTGGGGTCTCTTTGCACCATCTGTCGGATACTCTGTTTCGGCCGCAGCTGATGCTCCGTGGCCTCGTCGTGCAGGTTTTCGGAGATGTATTTTTTACCGCCGCGGGCTTCGATCTGAGCTCTGACAGCCAGGAGCCAGGAGCTCATATCTTCGGCATTGCAGAACACGAGGAGGAAAGCACGAGTCCATCGCCGGGAATAGGATCGATGAAATCCCAGGCGGGAAAACAAGGGCCGATGGGTATCAACTATTGCGGCGCCGTCTTCTTCCGCACTTTGAGAAATTTGAAGCACGTAACGCTTACCAGGAATCGCATCGCTGGCAAAGGCCACTGATCTGGGGCCCACCTGCAACATCTTCTCCGGTAGTCGGTCATGTTTCCCGGTTGCTGAGTATTGTAAGATATAACCAGATGTGACCAGCACATAGATCTTTTGGGTCCACTCAGTCTTGTTGATAGTGTCGGAGACCGTTCGCATATGTTTCTTCTCTTTTTCTTCCTTCTTCTTCCGTTCCGCGGAAGCTCCCTCATTTAGCGGCTGATTACCCTGAGGGTCAACATCGTTGGAGCTGCTGTTGCTCTTTACGGTCGCCTGGATGCGCAAAATGGTATCAGCAGACATAGCTGGGGCCCAGAGACAGTCGTGCTTGATTGCCTGTGGATAGGCCTGAAATAGCGGAGGGGGCTTCCAGCCATGGTCACCAGCGACTGGGCGACTGTCACTAAGCTTCCCTCGGGACTTCGACGCAAGTTTCATCCGACTCGCACCGCCCGGCGGAGAGGCAACCAAGGTCGACATTGACATTGCAGTTTTGGGGGTTGCACAAACACTTGGCGATAGTGGCGTGTCAGACACGGTCACCGTCTGTGTTACAGTAGTGTGCGCCTCGTCGATTTCCGCGAGTTTCGTGTCAACATTGGACTTACGGGAGGGCTTCTCCCGGGCAAAGAGCCCGCGCAAACCCGACTTGGATGTCTGACGCTTGACCGGAGTTTGCTGTAGCGGTACCCTCTCTCCTTCGCTCTCATTTTGGTAGTCCGTGGGTCGTAGGCGTTGCAGTCGAGGGGTTGCAGACAAGGTTGACGCTGCATCGGGAGCCGCAGCTAGAGTCGGGGATTGCACTGAAGCGTGAGCATTCGGACGGCTGAAGTTAGTTCGCAAAGGAGCTAGTCGTTGACCTCTGCGCTCGCTGACGGATGGGTGAGGGGGCTGCTGATCTAAGCTCATCCTTCAGGAAAAATTGGCTCACATCCGACATGAAAACGCGATTCCAATTGATTGGTGATGATGTGATAGAGAAGTCGTTAGGCTGGAGATTACGGAGCTTCAAGGGCGCGTGTGATTCATCTGGAGAACAGTTCTACTGTTGAGCCGGTAGTGTTGCACATCGATGTGAAGGCGAAGACTGGCATTGCAAGTGGACGCTCGTACCGACGGGTCAAGTGATGATCGCAGCCTGAAACCGAACCCACTGGTTTCAGATTATATTCAGATCGAGAATGGTAAATGCAATTGTACAGAACTCGACTGAAGTGAAGTGTGGACAGAACCGAATAGGAAAGTGGGAGAGATCGCGTGGTGGAGGCTTGAAGCGGAGACGGCCGAACCGAATTTTGGGAGCTCACGTTTGGTGTAGATGTACAGGTGGTAGTTTCAATTCCAGGGAAGGGGATTCAGCTGTAAGGAGTGAGAGAGAAGATCGCAATGCGACATCAGAGCGATTCATGCAGCTCCATTGCGCTTCTCCTGGGTATAGAAAGAGAGTGTTGAGGCGGAAGAAGACAAGGAAGGGGAAAAAAAAAAAGAGAAAGAAAGAGAGCAAACTCGGCCCAGAACTACCAGGCGGATGGAAACTGGGAAGCCAGATCGAGTCAAAGTCGGGACTTTTCCTCTTCTGTGTGAGTGTGATCCTTTTCTTCCGCTAAATTTTCTTCGTCTTAGTTTTAGGCTTTGATTAGCTATGGATCATAATCAGTAGTCCAGTCTAGTCTACTACTACTTGAGATTGGAGTGAAGCTAAATCTGCCTAGAGGATCTGAAACAGTTGGCCTCCTAACAGGAGCAGATTCAGGAAATGAGCTAGATGCAAAGATACAGCGTTGAGATCAGATCGATTCGGAGTATCATCGGTAATAATGATGGACAATTATTGCATGTCGAGAATGCGAGATACTACGTATCTATATGCGCCATCAAGTCTATAATTGGCAATCTACCCCTGACACGGAGGAGGAACAACACTTTTGGAACAGGTTCCGGTCCCACTTGGCCAGAATAGCATCATGTTTATTTACGTAGGGCTATGGCGAGGGGGAAAAAAACATAGTTCCTACTATGGAATAGGAGTACCGAAACTCTCTTCGTAGTTTCGTAGTGGACCTGAACAAAACTGCGCGGTCCTTGATGTATTATTTATTGACAACGGGCGACCTATGGAAAACTCTGCAGCAGATCACAGGTTGTACAAGGTGACGGAACGCAGCAGACTGCAGCAGTCCATACTCCATTCAAGGAATGAGGGACGGCGATCAACGTCAACCGATCGTCGTTCGGCACGATTTCGTACCATCGTATCATATCGCTTCCAGTTTTGAGCGGCTTGACTTGATCCGGTTGAGTCGCGAAGCCACAACTGACAGGTCAATCATTGTTTCTCGAGTAATATGCAATTTGTTCAGAATAATACATAAAATAAGTGCCTCGGAGACTCAACGCGAAGGAGACCCCATCAAAGGCACATTGGGCAGTGAACACTTCTTCCCCTCCGCCTCGGTAACAGCCCCCATCAACTGCGCTCCCTCGTCACAATGCTGCGCCATAGCAATGTCTTTCGACGACAGTCCTCGCGGATTATGCGTCGTCCAATGCACATCCACACTTCCAATCCTCTATAACCGCAAACAATTAGCAAATCGCAACCTTTTCCCGATTCAGCAGAAAAGAACTTACAACGGTCATGGTAGAATGATGCTTCTTTATCGCGCTCTGTGAGGCAACCACATTCATAAAGCTCTGCACCAAACAATCAGCGTCCCTAGTCCCTTGAGAAGAACAACAAACAAAACCCACCACAGCCTTGAAATAAGTCCGAAAATAAAACGTCTTCTGGATCCCCATCCCCTCCCCATCCAACACCCACCCCTTCTCAAGCAACGCTTTCAATCCCTCCTGAACCTCCTCCGCATTCTCACCCGACGAGATCTGCACCTGCGGCTGCGGCTGCTCCTCAGAAGGACCAGCAGCAGTCGAGTAACCTGCATCGGCCATTACGGGCGTCGGTAACCGTCTCCCCTCACGGAGCGCGCAGCCTCGGAGCGGAGACACCGTCGTGCGGGGGGAACTCCGCGTGGAAATGGATGATGACGACAACGACGACAACGACGACAACGACGACGATGATGATGGATAAATGACTCTACCAGATAAAATACTGGGACGAGAGATGCAAGCTCGAACTCGACGTTGCAGCACTCCCCGCGCTGCGTCCATGCTCGAGGTACAATTTAGTCAAAACTTTAAGAGACCTGCTCGTCATCATTAGAAGGTGACATTGACAACGGGAGTTGACAGCGCATCGCAGGACGGAATGGTCACGTGACGACCACGGCTAAGGTGCCTACGCCATCTACGCCATCGTCCACCCCCACAGACAAGGAGCACGGTGAGAGATGGTTCCTGCAGAACAACCTCATCCTCACCCGCATCAGGCAGGTTTTTACGTGTGCTCCGTAAAAGTACCTCGACTCCCCAAGATAAGAGATCGTCGGATGTAACCTCCGGAGCCAGGTCTATCCCACAATCTCCGCAGATGGTTAACCTAAAAAGTCAAAAGTCCGTGGAAGTCACCTCCGCCGTGCCCGCGATCTCTGTAGATGCGCCTGGCCTCCATTGCGGAGTTCGTACTATCATCTGCCCGGCCATCTGTTCAATGACGTTTGATTCCTGTTAGATCACCTGCCTCCTAGCTTTGATAGGGCTATACTACCTCGGGTATTCTAAGGTACTCTCAAGGCCACAGATCCATAAGACAGAGTACCTTAACAATGTGCATTAACTCTAGTAACTGCTCCTCTGTACGGGTCCCTCCCCATCGAGCCTGCATCCGCAGTCATACCTTGATTTCTCTACTCTTCCGCCCATGCCGCCGAGCAGTCGCGCTTGAGTCCCTTTAACGGATTACGTCGACATGAGGCATTACCGGCTACAGATCGCTTGAAACATTGACAGAATGAACATCATCATTTTTCGTATTCTTTCACTAGCCACCAGTAGCCGAGGAGACTTTCGCTAACTACTTCGGTCCCGCCGTGGAGACACATTCGCTAGAAAGTAAACATCCACCTCGCTAGCGACACAAGCATAAAGACAGACAACCACCGTTGAAACAGAAAATTTCGTAAGCCGCAGAAAGAAAAGAAGCTGAAGCCACATAAAAATCCCAGATACAATTAAAAGGCCATCGAAATGGTACGAAGCCGACGCCTATTTAACTCGGGTGTACCGACCAGACTCCGCCCATTCACTCCGCAAGGGTGCAATGCAAACGAGTTCCGAGAGTCGGCAGTCTGAACACGCAAGGAAGGTGTAGCACCAAGGCCTTCCACCACAGGCGATGAAAAGAGAAAAGAAACAAAAGCGAAATAACACTTGCAAAGCCCGGCCCTGCTCAAGAAATGAAAATTGCTCACAGAGGCAACGAACAGAAGAGCCCAAAGCTCGCAAGGCTCACATAAAGCGTGTTGCTGCCTAAAACCCTTCTGTGTCACTGTGGACCATCACTGCGACCATAATACACATCAACGACAACGCTTCCTCGGATACCCATCGGCACCAGGCCGCTCGGTTGTGGAGTTGCGAGTCATGCTCATTCCGCCAAGGAGATACTGTTTCTGCGTGACTGAGCACGAGAGCCCGCGCGAGACGCACCACGAGATGCCACATAGCTGCCCTGTCGGCTTCCAAGTGCCTGGCGGATTCGAAGGTCTTGGCGAGATCTTGCAAGAGAATTTGCCCTAGAGCCAGTGGGTATTCTAGACAACTGTCGGACATTGAGGTCGACTTCGACATCGTGGCGAGCAACCGACAGCTGTTGAGCAAATGTAGAGCGCTGGCGGAGGTAAGGACCGCACCAGTAGATGACATAGACGGCGATGACGAGGACGAATGAGATGCAGACTATAGAAGGTCAAGGTCAGTTTCTGTCTCTGGGATGCAGAACAAACAGATTGAAAGTGTCAGAAGCACTTACACAAAATCGTAGATGCGTACTCGAGGTGACGCTCGCCGCCAATGTCTGTGAAAACGTCTGTCAGCTGCTGTAACCATAAGGCGGATCAATGGACAGGGCAACTTACTCTCGAAGAAAGGTGTGGCAGGAATGGTAAGAACGCCAGCCAAGAAGTCTCGAGACCAGCCATTTCCACCGGTTGCCGACGCAGAGTAGGGACCGTAGGCGCAGACCATGTAGTCAATCGTCGCCATGTAAATGCTGTAGTTGGCAATGCCGACAATGGCAGAGAAAACCATGGTTCCAATCCAGTGGACGGGAGGACCCTGGCCGGTCCAAGCAAAACCAATCAACCCGATTGGCAGGCAAGGAGCAGTGTAAAGAAGCCACCACAGGCGAGATTCGTATTGAGCTCGTTCATCATGAGGCTTAGCGCGTCGCTCTTTGATGTTCCGTTTAATGACTGGGATAAATGATATCCACGCGATGAAATATCCAACTAGGATAGGTAGAAACGACAAGCCGAGTGCAACAGTGCCAAAGCCCCACTGCTTGTAAACAAGACCGAACGACTGGATGAACATAAAAATCAGAGCATCGCTGAAGCCACTCAGTAAAGACAGAGACAGCACGATGGGCTCGGTCAAGAACATCTTGAATGGGCGGATCCAGGTGGCGAGAATTTCCCGCACTGCGAACCGCTCCCGGAACTCAAGCACCTCGTTAGGGCCCCATATATCCTCTCCATTCTTTCTTCTTCTCTTGGCGATTCTGTCCATCAATATCGTCGTGCGAGTCTCCGGAACAAAGACCAGGTGAGCGAGCTGAACAGCCCCTCCGAAGATCAATTGGATCCAGATGCACCAGCGCCAAGGAAGGTATTCTTCGACGAATCCACCGACGACAGGACCGATGACGGAGCCTGCAACAGAAGAAAAGACGACGCAGGCTACGGCGTACTGCTGATCATCTGCCTCCCATAGATCGGCAATCATTCCCAGGGTGACGGAGCCACCGGCAGAACTCAGACCACCCAGGGCTCGACCCACCATGATAGAAGCAAAGTTGGGGGCAAGAGCCACAGGAAGTTGGAAAGCATTGACGAGAAACAGACTTGCCTGGAGAATTGGCTTACGTCCGAGTTCCTCGCTCCAGGGCGCCCAGAGTTCGCAGCCAAAGGCATAAGTAACGAGGAAAATCATGGCACCGCAACGAGCACCTTGCATACTGACTCCGTACTCTTCAGAGATGCCAGTCAGAGCGTTGGAATACAGACTGGTATTAAAGTTCATGGAAGTCTGGACAAGAAAGATCACGCTGATGACTGTCCACTTTTTCCAAGAGGGCCAGGAGTACCCCAGCTCGTCATAACAATCGGCTTCTTTAATGACCTTGTCCGCCCTCGAAGGCTTTTCTTCGACAGCTTCCACCGTCTCGACATTTTCGATGTCTGCCGCTGTGGGCTCTGGCTTTTCAAACGCTGGGTCAATGCCCTGCTCAGCGTGAGTTGAGGACGAGGCCTCAGATTCATGATGATGCGAGTCTTCTATCTCCATGACCCCCTCAGAGGGAGGAGGCACTGCCATTTTGAGATAGCCTGCTCTGTATCTCGCGTATCACAAACCTAAGAAGATAGTTAGAGTGTGAACGCGTAATAACTATTAGGTAGACAATGTAAACTTACTTTAATAATCAAGAGATCTTTGACTTGGCAAGGCTATCACAAGCTGTAGATGTAGATAGAAGGGATTATAAGCAGAGGAAAAGCTGAGGAGGAGACAGGAAGAGGAAAACAATGAGATAGAAGCTTTATCCCGCGAGTTAAAAGGTGGTTGTGTGAGAGAAGTAAGACTAACACTCGGCGAAGTGTTAATGTAACCAAAGGTTTGGGGAGAGAGGTGTGCAGATCAAGAGGTGGGAGAGAACAGGAACGAGGAAAAACAACAGTCAATTAACAGAGTAGAAGAAGTATGAATGCGGTCAACAAGAGGCGCCTCAGGCTATCTATATTATACTGCGTGGGCTGGCAGGAACCCCAGAAAGGGAAAGGACGGGGAAATACCTGATGCTACTCTACCACCCATGGACAAAGCCCACTTTGTGCCTGCACTTTACTTCCCTTCCAATGGAGAGAACCCGGGGTAAGTCAGTACGGGGCTTCTCTGCTAATTTCCAAACTTTCTTTATCTAGGTACCCTAATGAGCCATTCAGGTTACAAAGCTACTGAGAGCAGAATACACTCATCAGCCTTTGCTGTACGTCTCTTGCCAAATCCTGTCTTTTTGCCCACACTTTGCCTCTGTTCCCTTTACTGAAAACATTTATCTCTTTCCAGGCATGCTCGCCCCTTCCTTTTGCATAATTGATTATTTTTTCTCACGCAGAGACTGCAGCCAGAAAACTGCGCATTGAACATGGGTTTGGGCCAAGGACGCAGCCGGAGACCGAATCAGGACTGGAGATTCGAGCCCACTCGCCACGCCGACCAGGAGGAATGTCCTTCCTCAACAATTTCGAATGGAACATCTGGGAACCTCAGGGTCCAGTCAGCGTCTGCCCCTCGTCATCTGAGCCAACGGAAAACGGCGATGGGAAACCCCACGGGCAAGTTGAAGATGGCCGCAAATGGACAGGATTTATGGTGCTCCACTCGGAAGCGTGTGTGCTAAGGCCGAAGAGTACCACTACAGAAGCCGCTCTGGGCCGACAACTTCAGGAATGCCCGTTTCGGGAAACCAAGGGGCCAAGCCATGGGACGGTGTCGAAGGGAAACCTACAGTACAGTCAAACCTGCGAGCAGGAATACTCTACTGCAGCCTTGGTCTCGTTCTCAATGCATTTGACAGAATTTACAGAGTACAGACTGACAATGAAGAGGCTAGCAACCCGTATTGACGCAAGGAGTCGGGATAGTTGGCCGGCAGTACATGGGCCATTCTTGGTGTGGCTTCCCGAGGCGGTCGGGTAATGGCGATCTTTGCTTAGCCGCCAGAAATTCCCAGCATTGAGTTAGGACTTGCTGGAGTACGACAAATTACGACGGGCACATCGAGACGATCAATGTTGGCGTGCGAAAAATCGTGACACTACGGTGTTGGAAACTGGAGTAAACCATAACATTTGTCCAATTGCAGTGGTTTTCCTGAGTTTCGTGGGGCGTTTTCTCTTCGGGGCCACCGCGGGTGACGTCAGGTCTCTCTTCTCTTCCCTTATTTTCCCGTCGGCTCTTACGCAGATCGTCATTCCCCAGTAGGAGCTGGACTGGTTTACGACGACAACTTTAGTCATGCATTTGTATAACTAGTTGATTTCTGGCCTGATCGTGAGATGTCTTACTTTCCAGAATATTTCATAGAACATTGTCCGATGTTGACAATCCTGTCGCCTGCATGAGGACGTAGGAGGCTTTCTCCGTAACCTGGCAATGCAGTAAGTAGTATTTCTCGAACACCTCAGACGGTGACGTTTCAATAAGCAGATCGGATCCACCAAAGGTACATTTGTTAAAGTAAAGAGATCATACGGCAATACTAAGGGGCAAGGATAAGGTAATTCCATGATTATCTTACGAGAACGCGTCGGTGCCTTCTGATATTCCGAGTTACTAGTCTTTCAATGCAAGCGCATGGAGTCAGCATGCAGCCTTTCTGAAACCCATGGGAATGTTCTCACTGTCGGTGTCAGTTTCAGATGCCTGACATAGGCTAAGTTCGCTCAGTAGAATTTAGAAATTGGTTTGCCTAAACGGTGATCCAAAGCTTACTGTCTAGGTCAACCCAGGTTAGGAGTCCTCTCCTATGTACAAGGCTCGTACGACATGACAAAATCGCTCAGTCAAGGATCGTTGCCAACGTGATAATAGGGCCTTAGGGCGGAAGTTGCAGCTTCAATCCCACTAAGAATCAAGCCCATCATGAACCATAATTAGATTTCATTGTCTATTGATTCAGTGTCCACTGGGGTCCTTGACACTCCTTACTTCGTAGCCACGTTACCCCGGCCCCATCTTGCTGATCTGCTTCACGTTTTTCTCGCCCTCTTACTTCAAGCTTTGGTTTGGAGACTGGGGAATGTTCGATTGCGGTTTCCCCCTCACATCCACTTCTTTTCAGAAAAAAAATCCCCGAAACCCACGCCCACGAGGAAAGCAAGATCGGTCGATGTCACGTGGTCCACCTTATGAGGTCAAAGTAGAAATCAGCCTGTTTTCCTAAACCGACGGATCCGAGGCTCAAGCTTTCTGGCTGATTGGCACTCTCTTGGGTGGTTGGCTGCGTGACTGGTCCGGTTGCGGGTCTTGACTCCATCACTAATCCCAATTCAGCAGCGGAAGCCGGTATCGGCTGGAACTGTGAAAGTCAAACTTCAGAGTTCACAACCTACTGACTTTCTTCTAAATTCTAATGCTCCTACTCTGGTGCCTCAGGTGTCAGGTCTCATCCCCTTTCCACTCCGCTTTCCTCCAGGCTGTTGCCCACGGGGTAGATAATAGTGTCCCTGTTTTCCGGAAATGGGCAAGTCATGTTTCAGGAGTCAGCTGACAATAACCCTTTTTTTTGTAATGTTAAACTTCCTATCATGTATGAGCGAAATAGTTGATGATACTATGATCTACGGTCGCATTGTGGCTGACATCTAGGTTTATACTCAGAGTATATCTATAACTATCGCCAGCACGAAGACGCCGCATTGGGCTTCTCGAAGCTCACCGCTGTCTGATCCTAGTCATGTGGCGTTGCTCTGTCGAATTGAGATAAAGTCCGCCTGACTTTCAAGTAGATCAGTTGTAACCTTCTGGCTCTCTAAGAGTCCAAGTTCTGTCCCTGATCTTCTGACTTGCAGTAGTAGTTCCCGCATGGGCGAGGTCCGTGGCTTTGACTAGAAACAAGCATGTCTTCGTTGACCGTTGACACTGAAAGAATCCAGTCAAGCTTTTGAGAGTGCAACAGTATCATGTTGAGCTCATCATTCCAGCAAAACCAATACCAACTTGTCAAGCTTCATGGTTTGTCCATCCTCATCGGAGGCCCGGCTGGACTCTGGCATTGCATTCCACGGCATGTACTTCCGACTCGCATATACCAGCCTCAGGTAATTCTGGTAACCCACGAGTTATCCTATATAGAAATGATCGTGTTCTCAGGCCTTCGCTACGAAAATAGGAGGTCAGCATATGCGCGTAAATTCCCTTATCCATCCTTTGTCTCTCAAGTGAACGGTCCATTCCAGCTTCAGGACGCTAGGTCAAACCACAGGGCATTGAATGCTAGGCATTCTATCTCAACGAGTCTGGCAACAGGCACATGTAGTCTGGCTGATTCTGTTGAGGCCGTAGGCGATGAGCATCACTAATCTGCTTCCGTGGAGCATTGGTCAACTGGCACTCGGTTGAAAGCAGGGGTTGATGTTACTTGCCTTAGCTTTGAAGCTCTGCGAAGTTATCAGCTTTTGACGCTCTGATATTGTGTGCTGATGCTTTGCAAACCGAGCTTGTTGATACAACCATGATGTGGCTTGGATACTCAGCCCTAACCATGTGCCCTACAATGAAGTCAGAAATGGTCAAGCTGTGGCGCAGCTGGCTGAATTCAGAATAGCGTGACTGACTAACAGCTGCTGCTCTGGTTGCGGGCATCATCATAACCAGAACACATAACTAAAGCTGAGTTTGAGTGAACAGTGACTGTAATCATCATCATTAACATCATCCCCATCGTCATTGTATCACATCACTCTTCGTTCGTCCCGGGCTCGCCCTACCACCTCTTCAGCCCAAGGAATGCCTCCTGATCTCAATTCTCTTCCGCCATCTCGTTCCCCCTCATCCCCGCGTCCACCACGGACAGTCCCCGCCTCTTCCGAATCTGTGTCAGCGGTCTCCCCTGCAGCGTCATCTACCACCATGAACAACAATACTAATGCCACGGACCTGTCCCGTCGGTCGTCACGCGCTTCACCTCGTACAAGGTTGTCAATTTCAGAGCAGCGCCGTCCTCCCACAGGTACCCTGAGCGAGTCCGAAATTCCCTCAGCCGAGCACCGTTCCTCCCTGAGCCATGCACTTCGCACGGCAAGTCCCACGATCGGAGGCAGCCCGATTTTTGCTACGGGCGACCCGCACCACCAGCGTGCTCCGTCTCTAGGGGAGCTCCACCAGGAATTGGAGCAAGAGCAAGAAGCACAAGTGGTATGATTATCTATGCGCTATCCTCAAAAACGCAAATTGACTATGAATGCTGATTGGGCAATAGAACCGACTGTTGCAGATGATTCGGAATCAACAAGCCCAACTACAACAACTCCAGCAGCAGCAACAATCAGGCGCAGCGGTTGAAGATTCCACACCACCGTCCGAACGGTCTGTCGGTGTCCCCATAATACCGCCACTTCCTGCCGCAGGTAGCGGTCGGACATCCACTCAGTTTCCTTCATCCCTGTCCAGCCACCGAGCGTCGCGACCTTCCAGCCAGACTGCCTCTCCCAGTCTTCGGCCGCTGCCTTCTGCTTCTCTGCATGGAACGTCGGCCGACTCGTCCCGCGGGCCCGAAGGGTTGGACCTGGCAACAGGCACCAGTGAGACCTCGTCCCGACGTGGTAGCAGGGATGAGGTGGCTTTCTACCAAGCCGAAGCATCCATGCTCAATCGCGAAAACCAGATGCTTCGCCAGCGTATACGTGAATTAGGTTTGTCTGCTCTATTCTCTCCGTCTGTCATCTCTGCCAAGTCTCGGCATCTGCTCATCTCCTATGTATGCTCKGAGCTGAAGATCCAAACGCTAACAAAGCAAAAGAACGACATATTAGTGAGTTGACCACCTCTGGTGCCCGACCAGAGCAGAGTGCGCCACCTGCCAGACAGGGGGCCGAAACCGCCGATCATCATGCATCTGCCGGTGTGGGGTCGGCTACTGAACCCACGAACAAGTCTTGATTTGGATACACAAGGCATGGATGCGCTGTCGGCTGTCCGTCCGCCTCTTTCACTTTAGCTTACACTTTCTCGGCGTGTCTTATGATCCGAAATTTTTTTTATTGTCAGAATCGGCGAACTGCCAAGTTTGTGTGAGGGTATTCGGTGTTTCTGTTCCTTTCCCGCTGACGTGCATTGATACCCTGAACTATGATTATCTGTGTATCCATTGGAAGTATTCGCTGTCACCACTCAAGAAAGGGCTCAAAGCACCACAAAAATTCCTCGCCTTTCTTTTCGGTCTGCCCAAACTGTCTATTGGGTGTTCTTATCCGTTAGTAGGGATTTATAATTGCCAGGCAGCAGTGTCTGTCCACGCAGACAGGTCGTCGATCGTTCTAGAGCCTTCTTGGCGAACTCTGCATGCATTATCGTCTTCTTATTGCATGCAGAGCGCATACACGGTGATCGTCGGCCGGCTACTGTAGGCATCACCGAGAGCAGTTGTAAGGAAAGTCGGAATCTCGTATTTTCGTTTCCACTACGCGTTATGTCCTCCATTCCCACTACAAACCGATCTCACCTTTGGCAGAATTCTCTTGCTCCCATCCATCCAATCCCTCACCGGCACAGCCGTCGTTATCCTAATAACCCATGTCGACCATACGCCCTAGCCAAGCCCTCGGAACCGCGAATTCTCCCTCCTTGCCGAGTGCATCCTCCACAGCCTTGGTCTTGACCTAGACCTCACGCTTCTAGACCTAGACCAGCGACACAGATCGATATGCCCCGGATACAAACCCCAGCCGCTCATTCCATTTCAACTCCCCATCTCCCCAGCCTGATCAGTTAATCTCAGCCGATGCTCGAAAGAACGCACCACACCGCAACCTGATCCAGTCTGTCAGCGAACACCCCAACCCGCTGAGCTATGGTCCAGGCCTCGAACACATTGTATGTCGCTTCGCCCTTGCCGATATTAAGTCTTCAACGCATGATGCGACTTGCGAGCATCCGTGACTCGAGCTGCATGCAGACGCGAGTAGATAAAAATAAAGATAAAGATAGAGATAAAGCATCTAGACCGGCCTAGAGCGTAAGCTGTAGAGCGCCGTCGGAGCCGGGGAAGTAAAGATGAGCGTCTATCGTACGCTCTCCCCGTCACGGCGCGTGGAATCCTCAGAGGTGGTGAGGCTCCCCTCCCTGCTTGGGTCAGGAGCAGTTCTGCGGCGTACTCGCTTTATTCTAGCATTGGGGTTCTCCCTGGGCAGCTCACTGCCTAATTTCAATGATCGATACCTCTACAACTACATTGTGCATTACTGGAGTCATCGTTCAGAAAAAGAAAAAAAAGTCATGCCATTTATAGGTATAATCTAAGACTGTACAAGGAAATGTATAATTTACAGCTTGGCCTTCTCGCTCTCGGCCAGCAGGTCAGGCATCAGCAGGTCCCTCAAGTCGGATGCCGCCTCATTGAGGTAGTAGCTCATCCGCTCCGCTCCAAGGCGCTTGCAGACAATGTTGAAGTTGAGGCTGTAGCGGTCGTTAGCAATTTGAAAGAAAAACATAGACAGAAAGGGACATAGGACATACCTGTTCTCGTTGATCATATAAGCAATTCCGAATCCGTCGTCGATGACCTGGCTCCATCCGTAGCCATTGAAGAACTCGGAGCTCAGCTGGCTGGTCGACAGGTACCACGAGCCGCTGTAGGCGTAGGCGGGGTCTTCGTACAGAGCGGGCAGCTTCTCGCCCTCGCGCAAGAGCTTCTTCAGTCCGAACAGGTGACGGTCAACACCCTGACCGTCGCCGGCCATGGCGGTATACTTGGAGTGAGCCGCCAGGGCTGCGCGGAAGAGGCGCACGACCTCCTCGCGGGGGACGGAGGGGTCGGCTTGGGCCTTGCAAAAGGCGACGCTCTCGTCCGAGACGCTGCGGATGGTCTCGGTACGACCCTCTTGGAACTTGCGGGTCGAGGCCGACTCGTATGTGGGGCGGTTCTTGCCGTACATCTTGAAGTACGCCAGCTGGATGATCATCTGCACAAAGGCATCGGGGCTGCACTTGAACTTCTTGATGAGACCCTTGCCGTATCCCTGGTAGGACTGCACCTTGAGCTCGTGAGCGGACATCTGCTGGCGGTGCTCCTTGGAGGCCGCGTCGATGGCCTCGAGGACCTCCGAGTTCAGGTGGAACTCGATAGGGCGGGGGTCGGGCAGGTTGGAGCGCACAGGCTTCTCGGAGAGATCGATCTTATTGTTGAAAATGAGGTTGTTGAGGTGATCGTTCATGCGGTGCGTGGGGCTGCCGTCCATCATGCTGTGCTCACCCATGAAACCGGCAGTGCCGTTGTCATTGATGATGAACTGCAGGGGCTTGTCGAACCAGCGGTTGGTACCATCGCCGTGCCAGTACTGGTGAGCCCGCTCCTCCAGCGTCACAGGGGCGGCATCGTCGAGGCAGACGACGAAACCGCTGGACTCGATGTCGCGCAGAGCCTGCTCGTTGGCGGGGTTGGCTGCCAGCAGCTTCTTCCGAGCATCGGTCCACAGGTCACGGTTGGCGACAGTCAGAACGCCGACGGGGGGAGCACGCTGCGCGATCTGGTAGATGCGCTCAAATTGCTTCTCCAGCTCGGAGACGTTGAGACGCTCCCCATTGACAACTAGGGGTACCTTGAAGAACTGATTCTTGCGCACAACCACAATGTGCTCATTCTCCTTGGCGGGGTACTTCTGGGGGTAATCGGCGCCCTCGGCGGGGATACGGCAGCAGTTGAACATGTACTCGTACGAGCTCATGGCAATGGGCAGTTTGCGCATGTACTCGGGCTCCAGGGAGCCATCGTCCACCTGGCGCTTGAACTCGAGGGCAGCGGTCGTGATGGACGCCGCACGCTTGACGGGGTTCCGCCGCACACGGTCGTCCTTGTATGAGTAGAAGTAGGAAACGTAGGGAATGACGGGGTCCCGGTAGCCCAGGTAGGCGGCGTGGTTCCACCATTCCGTGAGCCAGTTCTTGATTTTTGGATCGGCTGCGCGGGCCAGCAGTCTCTCCTGCAGAGGCTGACCCTCACCACCGGGACGGATAAAGGCCTCAACGGCCTTCTTGGTGCGCTCATACTCGGCCTCGGAAACCACGGCGTGGACAGATTTCAGGTAACGGCGGCCGGTATCTTCTAATGAGGGGACCGGCAAGCGGGGGAGTGATTCTTCGAATCGGAGCATCTTGCCCTTGGAGAGATCTTCTACGTATCCTGCGACAAGTCAGTCCCGCCCAGTCAAGGTAGCAAAAGGTGCGCATGTGATTACTCACCCTCAGGGACTGAGGAAGCCTTGCGACGAGGAGCCATGATGGGAACCTGCCACACACACTCAATTAGCTTCTCCACGCTTTCTTTCCCCGGAATTCGCGAATCTTACTGCAGCAGAGCGCGCAAGGAGAGAGTTTGTAGGAGCAAGACGAGGCCGTGTGAGAGTGGTGGAGAGACGGCTTCGAGCAGAAGCCGTGAACATCCCTCTGACAGTGAGTGATACAGATGGGAAAAGAGAGGGAGGAAGATCGAGGGAAAGGGTGTATTTTGAGGAGCACAAAAGAGAGGATATGAAATTATGACAAAAAGCGAGGAAGAAGTTAGAAGTTTAAGACAGGAGAAGCCAACAGACACACTCGAAAGTTGCCTCGGCTGGAGGGAATCTCGTCTCAGCCGACCGGTGGGTAACTATGGGTACTTGGTCTGGCGTGTATTAGATGTATTTCAGTTACGGTCGGTATTATCCATCACCAAAACATCAATGTCAGGCATATCGTTCATAAGACCAAACCGCACCATATAGAGGCGCGTGTGACCCCCGGAGTCTGCCGTAGATACATTCCATACAAGGGGATAACCTACCTTACCTACGGTACCTTTGATAATTAAGGTACCTAGTATCGAATGACTTAACCGGAGAACGGAGCACGGAGCACGGAGGCCTGCGTGGTCAGCTTTGGTATTTCCGGAGTATCTCAATAATACAAAGTACGTCAGATAACGAAGAGTTTCTCCCACAGTCCCCAGACTCTCATGAGCCTCGGCCCGCTGCGGTGGAAGATGGCCGGTTGGCAAGTGGATAATGCACGAATCGGAGTGACAGAGACCGAAGAGTCCAGTTGCAGATGATCCCTGAGCTATATCTATGGGCTTCATGCCAGTTATGTACCACTCTACTTGCGGATGATCGCAATGTTCTATCGGAGCACTCCTACGGCCGTGCCGCCCGACACTCGATCAAAGGTGGAATAATGCGGGGGGAGCTGCCAACTATACGGTACGTATCATGACCTTAATACAGTACCTCCTGGTACACCATCAGAGCATTCAGTGCATTCGATGATGCGAGTCACCCCAACATCATCTGCAAAGTCGATTGTAGACTGTACCGAAAGGTTCAATGCCATGACTTGCCTCTTTTCTCTTCCTTGCAGGCGCTGCTCACCCTTAACTTCCTTTCATCCGTCCCGCTGACCCGGCCTGTCATATGCATCTACCTGTAACCAATCGAAATGGCTGAATATGAGAGGATGAAAGTAGACATGTAGCACGCTCGACCAGGTTTAAAGAGCCGAGCTCTAGGAATCAGGCGATGATTACGTGAATTGCAGTTCACCAATTGTAACTAGGAATGGATAGTAACGTCAAGAAACCCAACTCTGCGCCTCGCTGGTAGACGAAAGACAACAAGGAGAATAGAAAGTATACACCCAAGATCAATCAAGACATAATAGTTCCACCAAAAGATCCATCACAATCAATATCTAGGCAATACGGCAGAAGATCCCTGATCTCATGGAAAACCCTCAAGAGACAGTCTGAACTGGCGCAGACGGTTCTGGCTTATCCATTGCCCTATTTGTGCGCCGCGGCACTTGGATGCCGCTACGAAGCTGGTCCAGCTTGATCACTCCTGGCCCAGTGCAAATCCGTCCGGACTGCATCAGATTGCGCAATCGCTTTCGTCGAGCCTCGCCGCCGCGTT